GCACTAGGCAAGATTTAAATTAGTGAGTTGAAATGACTTGTACTTTTAAGTTGCTTTAACTTAAAATTTTAAGGCAGCCACAAAACTTACGTTTTTAAGTTGAAAGGGGTGAAAATTTTTTAGTGTACTTAAAGCAGCACTATGTAACTTTTGACGCTCTAGCGGTTAATAAACAGAACTGCACACATCCCGCGGAAGAACATTCCAACCGGATCTACTTCTCTAAGTTTGTCTATGGCGATTCACGCAGGTATGTGTTACTCCGCAGCGGTGACGACCCGACCAGGCTACAATAGTCCAAATATAAGTAGGCTACTTATTATACGTGTACCGTAGTGATTCGGAATAAGACAAAAACGCGGTTTGGAAGATTAATTCATGATGTACTCGCTCATTATATACATTTAGCAAATTTTGAACACAGAAAAAGTTACGTAGTGCTGCTTTAATAAGCATCCACAGCTCGCACTTTTACACAACATTTCGCCGCGAGGTCAAGAAGGAGGTGCTCGCTCTCGGCCTATGACTACATGCGGACACCCCTCTCTTCACACCAGCCCTCAGCAGGGTGTAGCCTATGTATAATTCTCTGCCACGTTAATTAAATATAAAAGCGGTCGCCTATTTAAAACGGGTATTCTGGATAAATGCAGTCGTTTGTATATTTTGTATATTGGATGAATGGCATGGCCTCTACTTGTCAGTAGCGGACCATCACTTCCTACAGCCGCATTGTGGCAGCGCAGCCACTCAACATCCTCGCGCTGGGTCCTAAAGCTCTGCGCTCCACTTATGCAGCAGCAGCACATTTGGGTATTGGAAAAAATGGTATGTTTTTATAGAAATCGATAATGAGTATTTGTTTGTAATTTTATGTAACTAAAGGAGTTTGTTTATTGCAACCGGTCCTGCTCTTTCACTCACCAGACCACATATTTAGGCTACATGATGGAGCAAATAGTCAAGTCAAGTCTGCTTTATTGTCAATTCTTCCACATGTACAGCACATACACACAGAGAATTGAAATTGCGTTACTCTCAGACCCTTGGTGCATACAGATAACACTAACAGTAGAACATAAAATACAGATAGATACAGATTAAATATAAAATACAACTATGCAAATAAGGTCATGTAAAAAAAAGAATAATAAAGCAACACAAGGCACATGGCAGATAGAGTGCAAACCAGTGAAGTAAACAAACAGTGCAGATATAATGATTGTAGTGCAAAAGAGCTTATTTTGATTAAAGTGACAAAAAGCTCAGAGAGCAGTTCTTTATTTAAACTGTCAGAAGAGGTAGTTGAATGAGGTCAGTTCAATGCTGAATGAGGTAGTGAGCAGACTACTAGAGCAAAATAGTTGCAGACAAATGCGTTTCCCTTTTATGTTTTTGGTCTTCTGTATGAGTGTTTTTTGTTTGTTTGTTTTTTAGATGCCCTGTCCCAAATGAAACCTAAAATGTTAAATCAGACACCCTACAGTCTTGTGGAGTCATATGTGATGATGCCCCACAGAATTTGAGTTGAGGCATGGGGACAGAATTTGACTGGGCCCCTGTGTATTTGCCAGTCAGAGGAAATATGTTATGTAAATTTAGTAGCAATTTCTGATTGAAAATTCTTTCTACACCATTTGTTTTTCAGTGTGCTTAATGTTCAGCATCATTAGGCTAGTCCAGTCTTCAGTCTCACGTGATCTTTCAGAAATCCTTCTAATATAGATTTGCTGCTCAAGAACCTTTTTTTGTTTTGTGCTGCTGAATATTTTTGTGGAAACTATGATACATTGTCCTTTTTTCAGGATTCTTTGATAAATAAAAATTCAAAAGAACAGATTATTTGAAATAAAAATGTTTTGTTGCATTATAAATGTTTGCAGTATTTTTTTTTAAATCAATTTACTGCATCCTTGCTGAATAAAACAGCAATGCAAGATGGAAAGAATATTTGGGAAATTTTTCATATTTGCAACTGAATATCAGAATATCATAATAAGCTGCTTTTTCACTAGGGGCTAGGGAAGGTCAACCAATTTTGTGGGCATTCACCAAATCTAACGGTTTAGTGTCCAGCAGCTGCTTTGCATCATTTTAAAAAGAGTACTTTTTATGGAAAATAATACTTTTTAAAGAAAATACGTAAGTGCAAACTGAATGTAGTGTTTTCTGACACTTAACTGCATGTTACTTAAATGAAAATGTATTATAGTTTACAATTTATATTGCATGCAATTAACTGAACTTTAGAGTGTTTTTTGACCCACTGAAGTAGTCCTCTTTCATCTTTATACGCAATTTCATAATTGCTATTGTCTGTGGAAATATGGTTAAAGTGTAAGGGTGAATGCACTGACAAACATTTATAATAAACTAAAATATGCTTTAATGTCATTTCTATTGAAACCTCTAATGTATTTATAATTACAGATTTGTAGTTGAAGTTTCAATTTAAGTATTTAAAATATCCATCCATTCTCCAAACTGTTTATAGGGTTGCAGGACTTTTGAAATATATTAACATTAAATGTAAAGTCAAATAACACTACAGTTAAAAATGATAATCAAGTACTTCTTTGAAGCACGACAAAAGATTATTAAAACTATGATTCAAAATGTAAAACTTTTAATTTGACATTATTACAAAGGACACTTTTAAAAAACTCAGTTCAAACTGAAAATGAACTCTCTTAAGTGGCCTTTTATTTCAGTTATATATTATCTGCAAGTATAGTGATTTAAGAGCCCATTCAGCAGGCACACTTCTTATTCACACGAGTCTTGAGGTCTATTATGTGCTGCTCTTTTATATCCTCAACCAGAAAAAAAGCTTGGTGAATATAGTCTTTTTTCATGTCATTACATTGTTTAGAGCATAAGCAAAAAAAATGGAAAAATAACATTTTTGAAAAATGATATTTTATCCATATGTTATGCTATGCTCTCTGTAGAGGACACCAGGACTCAGTTTTTCTAAAAAATAAAATGACATAGACACGAAAAGGCAAAAACTATGGGATTTTTTAAAAATCACCAATCAATTTATAGGTTTCAGGATTTTTTTTATACCAAACTTTGTATAAGGATGATTCTCAACTATGTTATAAAAGATATAACAAAATGATTTGATATACCATTTTATTTTATGCAATATGTGTGTAAAATGTCCATAAACTGGTTTTCCCATTAAACACAATGTTATCTATATACTGTACCTAATTTGCATATTAATGTGCTGTTTGGACAGCATGTTGAAAAAAGCAGTGTAATAATGAGAGTAATAATTGGCCAAATTTTCATAATATCTAATATTTCATAAGAATAATTTATTTTCCCATTCATTTGTTGTGTCTCCCAAAAATGCACAATGAACATGCTTTTAGTCCTGGTGTCCTCTACAGTGGACATGTATGAAATTATGTCCTGTTTCATAAGGAAGTCATATTTTGGTTTGAAACCCTATGACATTTTCCTGAGATGTTGATTTATGACAAACAATTTGAAAATGAATCAGATTTAATTGATAATTACAAAATATTATCATATTTCCATAAGGATGTACAATTTTATCACTAAATTAATGTCAGCCATTTTTAAAGATCAAGCAGAGTGAGTGGTCATGAAGAAACTTCCAACTATTTGAGAAGGGTCTGGCTGCAGCTGGCGCTTGCACTCTCAGACTTGCACTCTCGCACTTGCACTCTCAGGCTTGCACTCTCAGGCAGGAAGGGTCTGGCTGCAGCTGGCGCTTGCACTCTCAGGCGAGAAGGGTCTGGCTGCAGCTGGCGCTTGCACTCTCAGACTTGCATTCTCAGACTTGCACTCTCGCACTTGCACTCTCAGGCTTGCACTCTCAGGCAGGAAGGGTCTGGCTGCAGCTGGCGCTTGCACTCTCAGGCGAGAAGGGTCTGGCTGCAGCTGGCGCTTGCACTATCAGGCTTACACTCTCAGACACTTGAACTTCCGCTAGCGACGTCACTTGCAGTCTTTATTATTTTTTATTTTGTTCTATTTATTGATTACTTTTTGTTTGAATCTCTCAACATTTTACAACAGTAGCCAGGTGGTGAAGACAAGAAAAAAGAAACTAAATTACGAAGTCATGTTCTGTGGCCACGGATTTGTGGGTCTTGTCTTTTTCTTGCAGGACCCTGTATGTTATAGTAGACTAAATTAGTTTTAATCATTAAATCACCACCACAGCGTCTTGTCTCCATTGGCAACACGCACGATTTGTGTCGATTGCAAGTGACGTCGCAGGTAGCGGAGAGTGCAAGTGGCGATTGCAAGTGACTTCGTAATTTAGTTTCTTTTTTCTTGTCTTCACCACCTGGCTACTGTTGTAAAATGTTGAGAGATTCAAACAAAAAGTAATCAATAAATAGAACAAAATAAAAAATAATAAAGACTGCAAGTGACGTCGCTAGCGGAAGTGCAAGTGTCTGAGAGTGCAAGCCTGATAGTGCAAGCGCCAGCTGCAGCCAGACCCTTCTCGCCTGAGAGTGCAAGCCTGAGAGTGCAAGTGCGAGAGTGCAAGTCTGAGAGTGCAAGCGCCAGGCTGCAGCCAGACCCTTTTGAACTATTTGGCATCTCTGAAAAGCCCTGAATGTGCTCTGTACAGGACATCCAGACTTACAACTGTGA